GAAGACATCTCCCACCTGACGGTTGGGGGAATTATTATTGGACTATGAAATGGAGTGCCAAGGGGAGTGGATTGAATTATACATGATATCTATCACTTTCGTGCCTTTTTACTCAGACTCAGCTTTGCTTTGCTACTCATCGTTTGTAATTAGTAAAAGTACACTTAATTCTAAAGCATGGAGTTGAGTGGTTTCTTTCTTATTAAACGAAGGAGCACCTGACACTTCCCAAACTTCAGGAAAGCCTCCGGAGGCTGTGGAGGACGAAAAATGAGTCCAGCGGGCCAACCAGAAGTTCTGGTTGGCTATTGGGCCTGTTTTTCACCCACCCCAGCCTCCAGAAGGCTCTCCGGAAGGCCAAAAATCAGCTGCCCAGTGCGTGCATGTACACTGGAGCTGACAACTGGCATGCCAGCAAATATGGTTCCGCATGCAACCTGTGGCATGCGTGCCATAGGTTCACCATCATGGGTCTATACCATTGATAAATCCAGAAGTGAATCAAAGCTAAAATATGAAAAAAAAGAGGAATAGTGTAAAAGATGATCACATAGAAGTTTGTTTTTCAAATCTTACAGTTTTATGAATGTTGTAATTCCTGAATTAACAATATAAAAATTAAGCAAGTAGGTTTATATTTAGATTCTTTTTCCTCTTTATTTGATTTATTATTTGCAGCTGAAGCTTGCGGCCTGCCTTGAAAGGACAGAATTACAAGCCTGCAAAATTACAGGTTTACCTTCATGTTTATTGGTTATGGCATAAAAACATGTAACAAACCATTTTTCATCATGTGTCCTCATCTCATCCCTGGTCTAGAGTCTCTAGGGAGCCTAGAGTCATCTATAATTATCATGCTGTTAAAGTGGTGTTTCTCCTCTTTTTTATCATCACAAATCTTGCCATACAAATATTTTCCTGCATTTTCGTGATGATAAGGACAAGAGGTGACAACAGCTCAGTTCCTGGTAGTCAGAGGAGGATGCATGATGAACCTAAAATGAGTTCACATACAAATGGAGGTCTCTGTTGACCTTACATCGTCTATTACTTAGGTTCACATCTCTGAGAGCTAGAAAGACTAGAAAGGCAAGACTGGAGTTGTCCTCCCCACTCCACACATCCTCCCCACCCTCCAAGCTCCAGTTGGCAGGTCTTGGAGAATGCTTATGCAGGTGATGTCAGGCAGCATTTAGCCAGATTTTGTTGCCCACCACCATTCCTCTGGGAGGGAGCAGAAGGGCACTGCTGCTTCCCAGTATAAAGATCTGCATTATGTAGGGCTACCAACTCCAATCAGTTCTGGATGGCTCATACTTTAAACACAGGAACATTTTTAAAAAAAATAAGGAACAAATCATAGACATCAAAAAGAGAAAACTGAATATAACAATACTCCCCCCCCCCAAAAAAAAACCTACTCATAGCAGCAGCCTACTGCAAACTTGGGAGAATAATCAAGATTTCAAAGGTTTTCTGACCATAATCAGTGTGACATTTCTGAGTTTATCCATAGGAAATTAATAGTCCTTTTAAAAAAAAGGAAAATGGTTTCTGGTTGACACATAGACATAATAAATCACCATCCCGTAAAGATGGTGATAGAGAAGGGCATATCCTGCCAATCCCAGGGACATCGCAAAGTCCCTGGTAGATCCAGGAGAAGCCCTTTTTTCCGGCCACAGAGAAGCAGCCATTGAAGCTTCTGAAAGTTGGGACAGCTCCAGAACGGAAGGAAAGCGGGAGAGAAAGTGTATCGAATTGGTGAGATAAATTTTACTATTAGAGAAGAGAACACCCAAAAAGATCAAAAGTAAAGTTAAAATTGAAGACAGAAGAGGTTAAGTGGCGAGATTAAGCCTGAGTCAAACTTAGTGTGTTATTTTTCTTTAATCTTTTTATTGATGGGATTTTTACAAACGCTTCTTACTTTTTAAACTGAACTGTTTTTCTTCTTCTATTTTTCTTTTCTTTAATACTTATTGATTAAGACTTTCTTTCTTTTTCTTTTTTCAATGCTCTATAGCATTTTTTTCAAGAACTTCTCTTTTTCTCCTTAAGTTTGGAATATAAAGAGGGGAGTAAAAGTAGAGAAAAAGAAGTATCACTGCTGCTTGGAGGCTTGGAAACATTGTTTTACTTTTTTTTTCTTTGAACAGGTTTCTGAGCTAGTTCAGTGAAAATGATAACAGGATGAGTATGGGTTGTTTATACAGGTTTGCTCCTCCGGGGTACTATCAGTAGCTGGACTGGAGTGGAAAGAAAGCCTTGACTTGAAAAGGAGAAGATTCCAGTGAATTTGTTTGGAATTAAATAAAAAAAGCCTTTGATTCTATATAGTGACAGTTGTTTACTATCTGGAGAAATGGCTCAGCATGAAAAAGAAAAGGAAGTGACATGCAGATGATTATGCAAGAAATTTTTAAAAAAATACAAGTAAGAAGATATACACACACACACACACACATATATATATATATATATATATATATATATATATATATATGTTATATTTATGCTGATAAATAAATAAAGGGAGACTAGTATAGATCTATTTCAAGCTATTTAGCTCTCATCAGCTAGCCACACCCTTGTTGGGAATTGAACCTGTGCTCTATTGCCTCTCAGGCAAATGTGTTAACCATTGAGCTACAGAGCTCGACTACTTATCAGCCATTTATTTATCAGCACAAATAAAAAAAAAACCATACATACATATATATATACATACATACATACACACACACACACACACACACACACACACATATATATATATATGATTGATAATATGAAATCTTATATAAATTGTAAGTGAGGCCTATGGAGACGATGCACCAAATTTTTGTAACTAAAGATAAACAATTTTATATAGAATAAATATAAAGATGTAATATTACTGGATGATTTTAGGATGATGTAATGAAATGCAATAATATAAATTTATTTTAAATTTAGAATATCTCACATAAAAGGATGTAATAATAGTTATAGTCAAATGAATGTTTAATAATGATAATAATTGTATACATATATATTAGATTGATAATATGAGATTCTATATAAATTGGAAGTGAAGACTATGGTAAGGAAGGACAAAATTTTTGTAACCAATCGACATACTGTATGTAATTGGAGGATGGTTTTTATGTTTTATGTTTGTTTATGTTTGTTTAAAAATAAAAAAATATTAAAAAGACATAATAAATCACTGCATTTTCCCTTTCTCCAGGTTGATTTGCCCACCTAATTTCAATAGGGGCTAAATGTTTATGGTTACGAATGGGAAATAGAGCTTTCTTTATCAGCCAATTTGAGTGAGAGGAAGTGAGGGGCAGATGAACAATTAAATTTGCTCATTTTAAGGAAAAGGAAGAAAAGTGGCACTGCCTTGTGTTCTCCCACCCATCTTGCAGTGGGCACTGACACCTGAAATAATCACATCCTAAAGTGACGTGGCAATTCTCTCTTATTTGCAGAGATTTAGAACAAGGATTCAGTTCCCAGTACCAAATTGAGTTGGGATAGATTAATAAAGACTTTCAGCTTATAAATAAACATATTTATCTCCCCGGGTTAATTATTTAAAATATGTGTAATTCAGAAACAAGGTTTCTTTGTTCAAATTTCTATCTTACAAAATTCCAAGGAAAATAAGCCAGTTAGAAATAACTGTGAGTAGGGGCAATGGAATTCTTTTCCTAAATCAACTATTATTTGTATTTAACAAGGAAGCAGGAAAGTGATGAATCTGATCACTTTTTGATAAAAGTACTTATTTGTCTGCCACTTTTTTCTTGAAAGAGAACATCTCTTTAGCAACAGATCAATAAAACTTCAAAGCACGCTTGTTGTAAAACAGGTTGTATTGCCTATAAATTGGGATCAGGAGGGGGAGAAATCCTGTTTCAATGATGGGAAAGGGAGACAGGTTTAATAAACAACCTCAATTAAAAAGCTAAGCTCTGTTAGATTTTATCTCTGAAATGCATAGCACCAGTTTTAGGTCTTTTGACAGAGGGAAAGCAAGAAGATCAAAATGTTTTCAAAGACCACTTGAATCATCAGCAGACAACCCCTAGTTTCAAATGCTGAATAACATATGAGTTAAATTAAAGATTGCTCACCCATCCTTTGATATCGATTCCTAGCCTTTCGATTCTGTGAGTGGCAATTCTTGTATTTAGCAGACATTATCTTCTTGTCACCAACTTTGGACATGAATCTTGATTTCCGGGTCATGAAGCACAACCGATTGTGTCTTGCCTTCCATTGAGGTAAAGCTAAAAACCACTCACGCAACACTGAATGCTGCTGTGGGAAGCATCACACATAGTTAGGGCAATGCGTATTAAAAATGAAATACAATGCTGTAGCTACTCCTTAACTTAGAAAAAACAATTCCAGAAAAAACCTTTATCTCATCATTTCTTTTTAGATGGCAATGGTGAAAAGGATTGTAGTTAATACTATAATAGTAAAAATATGGCAATGTAATTGACTCACAACTAATCAAGTTCATTAGGGCATATTACAAGTAAATAGGTAAACAATGAGAAAAGAAACTAAACAAAATACAATAAAGTACACTATGTATATGAACAATATATAAATCATAATGTCTTAGTAACATAGCATACCAACACAAAATCAAACAAAATTCATTTGGGCTGCACATAATACCGTATTTTTCAGAGTATAAGACGCACCATTTTCCCCTAAAAGAGGGTGAAAATTTGGGTGCACCTTATACACTGAATGTAGCCCCACCCACCTACTGTCCCCCACCCTTTGGCCTCTGCCTCCCAGCAATTTACCTCCTTGCAGCAAATGGGAAAAATGGGGCTTGCAGATGCTGCAATAGGCTATAGCCAGGATGGCGAACCTATTTGTCAGGGCACATGAGGCATTGCCCTGTCAGTTGGCCAGCGCGCATGTGTGCACTAGCCATCTGACTTTAGCCTTTCTTTTTTTTTTGAGGCCATTTTTTGCCCTCCCAAGGTTCCAGAGGCTTTATAGGAGCCTGGGGAGGACGAAAACAACCTCCCCCCCACTTGAGGCCCTCTGGAGACTTCAGGAGCTTCCCTGAAGCCTCCGGAGTGCAAACAACCGGCCCTATGGGCAAATTGTTGGGAGGCAGAATCAGTTTTTTTTTTCTTGTGCTAATCAGGCTGTTTGCTGTTTGCTGCAAGAAGGTAAGTCAATAACTATAAATGCCATAGAATGTTCAACTTTTATTGGCTTGTGGCACCCTTCCCTTTCTCTTGTTACAAGATTTATAAGACCATTTACTTCATATCAGAGCCAGTTTGATTCTAAAATTAAGGTACCAGGCTAGAAAATGGTAGATCATGAGTTTTAGCTCCACCTTAGCCATGAAAGCCAACTGGCTGACCTTAAATAAAATAAAACATTTAAAATTAAATAAACCTTAAATTAAATAAACATTTGACTGCATTTACAACTTCAAGGGTGCTTCAACTTTTCCCACGTATTCATCTACCTCCGGTCCCATCTAAGTCCTTTGGACCACCTGCCACCTTGTGCCCCACCACGCCAGCTGACTTTTGCCATCTTCTTGATCTCACTGTTGATCCTGGCTGCTGGGCTGGACTTAGTTGGAGTTGAGCTTTGCAGTATGGGGGTGTTTGCGGGGGGGGGGGGAGCAAAATGTAGACCCAGAGCCGCAGGGTGCCAGCCTCTTTATAAAAAGCTCCAAGTCAATGCTGGCCTTCACATTCCACTACCACCACTCCTAAAAAGAAGGAAGAGCAACCCCTTTGCAAAGATCCCCTGGCTGGTATTGGGCTGGGGAAGCTGCAGATTTCCTGGGTGTGACCTGTATTTCCAGGGTCCAGGGCAGCAAAAAGGGTAGAGATGGTGGGAGGGATAGGTGGGTGGGGGGAGTTGGGTAGGAAGGTGAGGGAAGCAATCCTTTACCTTCTTGGGGTTTGGGACTTGGAGGGACCAAACCTAGAATGGCTTAG